ACAAGACTCGTTAAAATATTATTTTATTATAATATATATAAAATAAACTTAATTATTGAAAGTTTAATTTTCAAATCAAAATCAAGATAGTTATTTTTTGTTGTATATTTTACGAAAAATATTTTGAGATCGTGATAACCGAGCTTTTAATGATAACATTACAAACAAATAAAACGTATAATATAATATGTACTCTAATACTGGGGTGGATCCATGAATTAATCAGAAGTAGGGGGAGGAGCGGTTGTTAAAATGTATCGAATATCAAAAAAATTTAAATTTATTGAATACGATTTTACATAGGTACATAATAAGTTCACACCGCTCAGCGGGGAAAGGGTATTAACTATTTACCCAATTATCTCCCCCCCCCTTTGATCTGCCACGGCCTTAATATTTAACTCAGTAGTGGTTAGATTATAGAAATATAGAATACCTAACCATCGTTATTATGTATTTATGTGCAAATTACTCATTCCAGATACTCCAGTTGCAACAGTGATGATTGGATACCCATACCGGCCATACCGCTCCACGAAAAACATGAAAATGTCCTCCCGAAAACAATATGATAATTTCATGTTATTATTATTAAATAATATTATGTCGTTCCTAGAGTCGTGCGTGGCTTTACAATATGTGACGGAGTCCGTCACCGTCGGATACGCGTCATCGTACAACACTACAACACTGCCGCACAATGCACATACCGGCAAATCAGCTATTGTTTGTTACCTAAACATCTATATAGCTGGTATAGACCGTAATATGGCCTGGTAGCGGCAACACGATTGTGGGCCGCGGGGCGATTGAGGGGAAAATAGAAAAACCGAACAAATCAGCGTCGTCAACGTTTTGGATTTATTTTATTGACAAGTCGAACGAATATTATTATTAATTTTTTTTTTTTTCCCAAGCGTAATGGATAAATAAAATCGCAATTATTTTCAGAACCTAACCTACACTATAATAATATTGTTATTACAAATTACAATAATCCATTATTATTTATTATATTATTCTATACGAATTGCATAATATTATATTATTATCATATTATAATTTAAGGCCAGAACCAACGTTTATATATTTTGGTTTTTAACAATTTATTGAGAAAACGATATTTATAAGAATAGTATTATTAAATTATAATATGGTTATTTTTAAACTAAATATTTTTGGCCAAACTATATAATAAGAAGTTGTTGAGTTATTCATCAGACGGTAGCAAACAGTTGTTGTTCTAGCTTTGGCATCTAGATTAATATTCATTTCAGTACAAACTTCTAGAGACCGGAGTGGTTCAAAAATGCTCTTAAAATGAATGTTTAGTTGTTTAGCTGTTTTTGAACTCACCCATTTTGGGCCACGTGTGTATTATTTTGTTGATCATCCGACTCCTACAACAGTCCTACCTATTTCAGAACAAGTAAATTATGTATTTATACGTATATGTACTATGTAGCCATGCAGACTGTAGGAAAAATGGTATGCCATGTTATTGTTGACCGTAACACAATAAACAAACATCTCCTTTTTCGGTCGGGTTTGCATTTGATTTACATATAGCATATAGTATTATAGTTGCATTAGCCCTTTCAGTATTGCACCAGAATCTGTTTTTATAGCTTTATTATAGTAGACCCCTCTTACCTATATTTAAATACAATAATAATAGGGCAAATTCAATATCAGTAGGTAAAATATATAATTCATAATATTCTTACGGATCTGACCATTATTATTTATTATAATTATATAGTTATTGTAAAACATATGAAATTGAGTTTTTACTTTTTATTTGTTATTTCAATAAATAAATAAACAAATATTTACAAATCCAGACTTCTTTATAATTATTTTCTTCGGTTTTTATCGAATAGTTCAATAGTTGTACCTACACAAATATTTAAATGTGTAGTTCGGCCTTCGGCATTAAAAAATATAGTCTTATATTATAATATTATAAAGAAAAGTGACGAAATTTTAAATTCCCGTCTCACGATTGTGTAGGTTATTATGTGTGGTGTGTGCTACAAATATTTTTGAAAAACAGTCTGTAATAAAAGTTGAATACGGTTTTCTTACACTTTAGGTTTCTAAAAATCGAAATAAAACCAAAGTTTAGAATATTATGTTTGGTCCGTCTGTCCGTTTATTAGTTATCAGCACGTAGTAACGATTATTCATATATTATATTAATATATTTATTATTCACTATAATTATTGTTCTTAGTTACTCTACGTTTACACAGTTAAGATTGTCATGTGTTTGTATTAAGATATTTAATTACGATTGTGATTTGTGGATATTAAGATAATTACTTATCGTACAAATATTAATTAATACTAGCCAAAATACTGAGGTTAGCAAATTCTTTTGAAATTATTACATTTGAATTTGCTTTGTATTATAATAGACACCATTGATGATAAATAGCATTTATAATCAATGATTATAAGTTTGGAAACTGGGACTTTAACAGGCTCGCTTAGTGAGCTCTTCTAACTTATTCAATAATTAAGAAGGTATTAACCCAGTATTTTCTTAAATATCTGTTTTATAAATCGTTCAGAACTACTCGGTTATATATACTATTAAAGAGGGCTAAAGAAATGATCAATAACGAATAGCTGTAGTAATTACAATTTATAAATTATCTGCATACGAAAATTTGTAGATTGACAAAGACAAGGATAGCTTCTGGCTGGATTGTAAGATTGGCAAGATTTACAGGTATATCGTGATTTAGGCTATGGATTAGAACGCCAGTTCTATCTTAATAGCCTAAGTTTTTGAATAATTTTGTTTGAATTTTTTGTATGAGGTACCAAGGTAATTTATATTTATTGCGATTTGTGAAGTGTCCTCTGTTTCATATTGAAGACCCTTGCTCCATACCCTGTAAATCTGGGTCTCAGCGTCTCACTATACGGTATTATATACTATATAGTATATCTATTACCTACTGGCTATTATTCACAAATAAATAATAACGCAAGTTCTTTCCGGCCGCATATCCGAGTAAATTTTGAATTCCTCTCAACAGACGTCAGAGATCAACCAAATTAGTAGCAGTTAAAAATACAGTATTAGCGATACACACTTGAGATATAAAATACAACAACCATGATACGGTCCATTCATTACTCATTAGATATACAATTAACAATACAACCACGAGATTTTGTGTCTAGTGCAGCACACATTTTTAACAGTTTTCATTTTTCAACAGAAGTGATAGTTTGATAATAGTAGCCTAATAGCCACTAGGTATGTATTTCCTTCAATATGACATAGGTAGCACTAGTAAAAGGCATGCAAGGTGAAATATGATGTTTATTCGTAGGTGCATGAATCTATTATAAATGAGTAAACGGAAGCAACATGAAAGTACTACGAAAGAGTTCAATATTAACATAATAATATAGCCATATGGATATTTATACCAGGGTAGGATATTTTTATTTGATCAACCAACAACATTGAAAATTGGTGTTTTTATTTTATCTCAGATTCAATATTGTTTCACCTTTAAGAAGAATATATTCAGCAGCCCGCTGATCGAAAATACATTTTTAGGTGCAGGTGCAGCGAAAGCACCGTTCGCTGCATCCGTGAGCACGGCTGTGACTACAATAACCAACGAGCGTTCTAGACATGGCAATATATTATTATAAATAAGTAGGTACACCGCGGTACGGTATACGTATTTAGTTTGTAGGTACTTGGTAGAGTATACGTGTACCCATAATACTTGGCTATTCATACCCATACCAAACAAACATAATAACAATATCATCCTCTATATACAATAACACTATTATTATTATTATTATTATTATTATCGTATCCATCGTGTACTGATTGCTGCGAGTGTGATGCAAGTGCGTAACGCCGCGCCGTAACGGTACTCGCGGTTACGCGTCAACGACGAGCGGACGAGCGGCAGCGGCGGCGGTGGGTATGTAGTCGGCGCGCAAGTACACACGGTAGGCGGCTCACCGCCGACGCCAAAGGGGGGTGACAGCCAGATGGGTGGGTGGGCTGGCGGCGGGCGGCGGCGTGCCCGCGCGTGGTTGCCAATATACGCGCGCGCGCAACGCGTTCGGACGCTATTCAGATCGTAAATATCGCCCGCGGCCGTTGGAAGTGCTCGCACGCATACAATAGCAATAATATTTTGTACTGCCGACTCGCGGTTTCCGTTTTGTTTCCCTTTACACGACGACTGTGAACCTGTGATATTACTAATTAATAATATTAGTTCGCGCCCGCTCGACGGTACTGCCGCGAAAATAAAAACGGTTTTATTTTTCCGCTATCCGGCCGGACGACCGTTTGTCCGTTTTTCAAATTATTGTTCACGAGTCCTTCAATTAATGATTTATTATATTATTATTATTATCAATCCATAATTACCGGAGCGATAACCGACAACCGTACGGCGAAACGGCTTTATAGTGACGACGATAACGAGAACAATTATTATAGATACGATATTAATAATATTATGAACGCGGACGGCGCAACCGCAGCAGCTGCAGCCACGACTAGGACCGACGACGACGACGACAGCAACGACGACAAACGCGCCGCACGGAAAGACGTTAACACTCATTATCGTCGTTAAAAGCGGCCGTAGCGAGTTCAGTTTTTCCCGCCCCTCCGACCCTTAACGTTTTGTGATAACGATTGTTATTGTTATTTATTTTTACGGACGTGTAGTTCAGTAGGTAGGAATTAGATATTTTAGTAGTAAACATTTAGATACCTACAACTGCACTAGGCAGGAAGGTAGATAGACAGACAGATTGGATTACCGTTTGCCGATCGATCGAGAATATCATATTACTTAATATTATTATTATAGGCAATAAATCGTAGCCGTCCGCTTCGGCAGGATCGATAAGACGGTGTGTGCGTGCGCGCGTCCGCCGCCGTCATCGCCGTCGATGAACGAACTTTCCGGTGTTTTTTTCGCGAAAAAACCAACGGGATGGATACGTGCGTAGACCCTAACGTTCCGCCGTGGAAGTTGGAGCTGATAAACAGAAGACGGACGAGAAACAATCAATCAAAGTGCGGCGGTGGCGGCGGCGGCAGCAATAACGAACAACAACTACAGGTAAAACCAGTTCAATGGACCTGGTCCCCCCCCACCACTCAACACTTTCTCCAGCAGCCGATCGCCGCCGCCGCCCAGATACCGATGCCGCAGCCGCCGCATCAGCAGCAGCAGCCCACAGTCGTAGTCGGCACTGCCGTGTGTCCCACCAGCATGAGGCTGTTCAAGTGCGAGGCCACCGCTATCATGACCAATTTCAAGAAAAATCCGCAGATCAACCGCTGTCGATCAAAATTCAAAACCAAACCGCAGATCATCACCGAAATCACCAATGGCCAGGACTACCATTCGGATTCCAGTGAAGAGTTCAAGTACGGTCCGGGCATCGTGAACAAACTCAAATCCAAGTACATGAGCATGACGGTGCGCGAACAAAAACCCAGGCCGTCGTTGCGCCGGTCCACCAGCATGGACAACATCGTTGACGACAAACGGCTCATCGACAAACCCAAACTCTATTCGCAGCCGGACGTTGTCAGTGTGGCAGCGACTGTCAAAAGTGAAACCATGAAACGTGCCCGTTCCATGGAGACGTTGTCTGATCCCCATTCGGTCAACGCTAACGGCTACATGGATGAACAGCAGCCGAAAACAACTAATGGTGATTTGCCACCACCGGATGTTGTCAAGACATATAAAAAAATATTTGAAACCAAAACACAGACCGAAGTGAAACCCATCAAGATAAAGCCTGCAATTCTACCTAAGCCGATGATGAGTCCAGAAAAATCACGTCCGGCTAGAATGAACAAAACACCATTGAAGAAAATGTCCCCACCAATTAAATATCCTAATAGGTAATAATATGCACATTTAATAAGTTGTGGATGAGTACCGACTTGGTTGTTTATAACTGTTTTAAATTCCTATCTCTTCATGATAATTATTAGACAAATGGTTACATATTATAATTGACACATATTCTAGATAGTAATATGAATAAAACATGTAGGTATTTATTATTATACTATTTATTCATCTGTCAATAGGTTTCTATTAATTTCATTTGTGTTCTATGAATGGTCAGCGATCACTCATTCAAACTTATAAAATGTTAAATATATAGCTAATAAGACCAAAATTATATCATATTATTACTTCTGTTAACAGTCAGGTATTATGAGCTCATTAAATTCTCTTAATTAATTCAAATATAGTTTAAACTAGGTGTCTATATACCTTTAAAACCTAGAGTTTGAATGCGATTTATTTTTTATAATTGCCTACATAATATATACCAATATATTTTCTTTTAATGTAACATTGTAGACTGTAGTGTTTGATAGTTATTAATATCTATAATTTGTTATGTGTTTATTTGGTTATCTACAGTTTTAACTTATAAAACAACATTAAACTTTGATAATAGATGGCACCTAGTTCGTTAATCTCGTTTTGTTTTCCATTTACTATGTGAGTTGCTGTAGTACCTACCTATTAATTAGTTAGGTATTTATAGGTACACACAATTGCATTATGATTTGTTGTGTATTTATTTGTCAAATAATAATTGTATAACAAATGTAATTTGCCTGTATTTATATTTATAGTTAAATAGTTAATGTTTAATATTACCTACTTAAATGATTTAGTATGTGGGTATTTTAAATAGGTATGTAATGAAAGTTATAGGTTATACCAATTACATTCTTATATAGGTATTCATGAAGATCAGAAAACAGAAAACATTTTAATAGTTTCAAACCAAAAGTTGATTCATGTTAGGTACCTAAGTATTTCTTAATAAATTATGCCGTATGTCTTTATTATCTATTTAAATTTGTCATTTATTAGGTATAACTATATAAGTTATGTGTTCATTATAAGACAGTTTAATTTATTACCTAAGTACTTAAATTTTGTAAAATATTACTTAAAAAATTAATGAATTCTGTTAATTAAAAATGACTAAGTATATTATCTAATTTGGTTATCTGTTTATAGATTAAAAAAGAAGGAGCCATTGGGTTTTGATCGTTCCAAATCATTGATCAATGATGAGGTTAGTTCTAGCCAAGATGAATCATCTATGTCGTCTGACGATGGTGGATCACAAAGACACAGGGTTATTATTAAAACCGCCATCACTGCAACAGCTATTGATAATAAACCAATATCAATACAAACCAAGCAGATATGTGTTATCAGACCAACAACCAGAACTACTTTACAGCCTGAAGAAACTACAAATGCTCAATTGTCTGATAAAGAAATAGAAAACAAATTTATAAACAATAATAATAATAATAGTACCAATAATACCAACGGTGAAAAAAGAATAAGTGGCTTGTGGGATAAAAAACGTTGGGATAATCATGAAAACAGCGTAGTTTTTAATTTCGTCAACAGAAAAGGAGTCCCAAACTATATTGACAGTGATGGTCCAGTGCAAAGAAGAGACAATTCTTATGTAATTTATAGTTTTCATTGACTTATAATTATTTTTATCTTATTAATTTATTTAATTTTAGGGAGTTAAAGATGGTTGTATCATGTTGGACGCACACTGTGAAGAATCAAGTACTGATGATATTGATAATGTAAATAATGATAAATATGTCACTTTTGTTGGTGGCAATATTGTAATTGGTCGTTCAAACCTTCGAAAAGAAAATACACCTACTCCGAAAAAAGTAAGTTTTATTACCTACAAAATTGTGTCTTACATGATACATTTCATATTTTATATAATTACATTTGAATGTTATCTCACAGTTCACTCATTATTCTTATCCTTATTAAGTACTTATTTGAACTCTTATTTTTTTTATAAATTTAATAATAACTTTTACTATGCTTATGGTTTTGGATATAAAATTATATTTCCAAACACTGATTTGTGAAGTATTAAAATATACTTGATTTGTCATTAAAATGTTATACTCTATGACGGTTGAAATTTGAAATATTATGGCTTGGATATTATACCTATATGAGTATATAATTTTTTCAAAAATAACGTTTTTACATAAATAATAACCAAAACTATTTGGTTTTGTACATTATATTCAGAGGAACAAATCATATTTTAAAAAAAAAGTATTGTTTAGTAATATTTGTAAGTATTATTAAATTGTATTAAACATAAAATATCATAATTATGAGATTTCTGGGATTATATTATACAATTTGCTGAAAGGTGTTTTTAATGTTTCAGACTTCTATACTTAATTATAAAAACTCATATAAATACATATTTTCTTAAGCATTTTATTTGTCATAGATGTATATAAAATTTTTTTTAAAAATAAGTACATTTAGTTTAAAATCTAAATCATAAAGTAATAATAAGAAATAATTTGCAAACATTATAGAGTTTTGGTAGTAATTTTCAAACAGAATGAGTTTTAATTAAAACTTATCTTTACCTGATTTTTCTGTTTGAAAATAATTGAATAAGTAACAATAAAGGGTAGATTAAACAAGTTTTTTATTATTATAGCTCGAAGACATTCATCATAGGTCAATGAGCTGGTTCTTTGTAGAAATAGCCTCGGGCATTATTATTTATTTTATAAATACAATATGTACGCATTCTTTTGCACAATGACACTTGAATGCTGAAGTATTTGCCACTGGGCAACATGATGCACATACAATATTTCCTGTTTCAATGAGATTTTGTAGTCATTACTTCAATATAACCTTTGTTAAATATAAATGTTTTGAATGTTGTAGTTTTTTAAGATTTTACTTAATGCCAAATAAGTGTCTATATGGACATTATTATGGTTTATCTCTCTTTCAACAATTATAATAATTTAAAATAAATACAATGTGGGGAAAAAAAATATTACTTCATCGAAAAACTTGTTAAAATAGGTACCTAGTTGATAAAAATATTGATTGGAAAACCTATCCAAAACAATATCAGAGAATATGTCAAGATAATCACAGGAATGCATTTTTTTTTTCGTAAAATAACAAATCAGCAAATAATTTAGTGTGAATTAAAATCGTAATTAATAGTAAATTATATGTTCTGCGTTCAGATTAATATTTATAGTTTCAGGAAAATCGCCTGGTTAAGATAATAGAATATGTGCCATTAAACATGGTGTTTTATAATTTGTTTATTATTCAGATTATTTCTCTTAAAATTATTAAAATTAGATTGTTATTAACTACGTTTGCCGAAGTATTAACCGTGACATTTTAATGGGAAATTGAATAAGTAATTATGTTTTCTTTGTACTTTCGCGTAAGGTTGTAAGGTGTATTATACTTATAGTAAGTGCTATAGTTTGTTGCATAGGTATTTTAGGTTGCCATACCGGTTTTAGGTCAATCATTAGCAAAAATATGTAGTCCGATAAAAAAAATAACCAATCTACAAACCGTTTAAAATTCGCGATAGAAAATTAAAATTTTTAGTGGTAGAAAATTCTTCGTTGTATAAGAATATAGTATCCGAAGGTCATAAACTGTGGGTCATTGTGCTGTAATAACAACTTATAACGGCACTGTGTTCTATTAAGTATTAACTGTTGGAAACTAAGTAAACCTAGTTTAAGGCCATATGCAATTGAATCTGCGAATAATTACCGTTTTAATTCTTAATACGATATCGAATACGTGACAGCCTTTATTGATGTGTCACATTAACAATTACCATTTATTTTCTAGGACCTCCACATAAAATTCTCCGACATACTTGAAACGACTCACGAATATCCGTCTGAAGCTTCAATGTTGATCGAAGAGGAGTCAACCACAAACGACGATTCTTCAACCATGTCGCCAAAAAGTAATGTACACAATTTATCGTTTGGAATACCTTTAGATTTTGTTCTTGCAGACTGGAACAAAAACAATGGTTCATATACATGGTATTATTACGTTCCGCATAAAACTATACACTGATAAAATGTATTATATTTCGTTTAAATATGTACGTATTGTTATCGGTATGGTCTGCAATCTACATAAAGTAGGTCGCGAATACTTTCACTGATGGTCAAGGTTCAACATTGAAATTACATCTTGAAATATCCCGTTTGCATTTAGTTTTCAACTGTTCTCATTATACACACACATATATATATTATATATATTATATTGATTTACCACATTACTATGCGTGTATAATTCATCCGTCATGATGTCCGCTTATTTATTCCGTTGCACTTGAATCGAACTAAAATAATTATATGTATTTAGCATATCAATAAGGACACTGCGTATTAATTTCATATAGACATTCCTTTCAAACAAACTTTTCGAAACCCATTGGTTATATTATTTTCATACTTGTAACGTACATAATATTTAATATTAACATGAACATACATTAGTTCGATCAAAAATATTTTGAGAAGTTGTTATATTTAAAAAAAATCTAATCATTGGAAATTAATGAAATCACAATAACATAAAATACTTCCATTTTTTCTGTTAAATGAGTGTACATTTTCGCTTTTAATTATTGTTTCAAAAGATTATAAACAGAATCGAATTATTTTTGAGCTATGAATTTCTAATTATTATAATTATCTCGGGGAAATGTTTCTTGTTAAACGTTAAATTATAATTTTATTGTTTAGGTAAATTCGGCAATTACATTCCAAGTAAATTGGGAACAAACGAAGAAGCGTTTCTCGGTGAATATGGCGTGAGCAGAAGTAATATAAAACCTGTAAAACGTGCGGTCGATAAAAACGAAGAAGACATGTCAGTGATGGACACATATGTGCCCTGGAGTGAAGAAACTACACCCGATCTCTTGTTTTGAGTTCCTAATCTTTATATTTTGTGTATGAGCTCAATGGTGTTTTTTCCAAACAATATAAATTTAACGGGAAAATCGATTTCTTTACGTATTTTTTTTTTTTTATATTAAATAACTATATTACCTGTATTAAAGTTTAATTTAAAACAATGGCCAACACGATAAAATACAAGACTCAATGAGAAATTCCTCGACTGAAAAACTACATTCTTTACATAATATTTATATATTTTTACGATTCCTATAAATACGTGTAATATTTTTTTGCTAAGTAGTATTCGTTTATTATTTAATATTTCTACTATTAACTTTGATGTTGTTTATTTATTTGTGCTTTTTTTTTATATAATATAATTCAATCATAATATTAATATGATATTTCGATTTTTAAATGCATTTTGTACCTATTTTACATATTGGCATCGTTTTTGAAGTTTTGGAATTGAAATAAACCGTTTTGACACGTTTATTATATAAAAAAAAACACAGAAAGTGTTGTCTTACAATCTATAATCTGTCACCCATGTGCATAGTATTGTAATTTATAATTTTATTATTGTTAAGACTGAGTGTCAATATAGCTCCGACTTCTCAGAAATTGCATTACCGGTTCCAGCGAACAAATGAAAAAGCAATAGAGGAGTGTAAGAAATGGAGGGGATTTCTCGTTGTACATGGTTAGTACCTACCTCTACGGTTGTCCACGCCCAGAAGAAATACGATTATAGGACTATGCGTTCAGAGGATTAAATAGATACGTCTGGCTAGAGAATTAAATTATACTCGTGCGCTGCAACTATATATTATAGTCGTCTCGTTGGCGTCTGAAGTCGCAAGACTCGTTCTCATCATTCGCGTGAGATATTGTAATATTATATCCCTAGGTACCAATACTTTTTTTTAAATTTATATTTTGTAAATGGTCTATGTATATGTATATTGTGGATGACCGCACTACATTTTAACTCCATCGAAATGGTACATTTTATTTATGAGTGTTTCCTATATTAGGTATAACTTATAACTTGTAAATACATTGGAAAGGTATAGTATATTATATAGTGTATAATATACTACAAACATACAGAATACACATGGTGGGCTGGGCAGTAGGCTATTAATACATAATACCTATATGATGAATAGACAATATGTATACCTACTATAGTCACACTACGTACCGCTCGTCGCTGCAACTTTTAAAAGCACTAATAAATGACACTACACAATTGTCGAGAAATGCGTAGGTATCCGTCCATATGCGAACGATTTACGCATAATTCATTGTATAATAACATTAGTTATTATCGACTACAGCGTGGTGTAGCTGCATCCTCGCCACGGTGTGTAATTTGTTAGAAACTGCCGTTATCCGTGTATATTTTTTTGTCCGCACGCGTTTTTAAATGGATATTTTACAAATGAGGCCCTGCTTTCAGGTATTATAATTTAATAAATTTTCTCACTACCTTGACGTGTGCCTATCATTGGTTTTAGTTCGGCGTTATTTTTAATTTTTAATCTGTCCCAACAGCCAACCTATTATACCATCATAAGTTATAAATACCAATTTGTATTTATATGTATCGTATACGTTTTGCTTTCACGATCTGTTAAAAATTTGGCGATATTCCAATTTCCAGGTGTCAACGACTTACAGTTTACCTACATTTACCTATAAATTATATATTATAATATTATGTCAATTTTTGGAAAGCGAGTGACGGAGTGAATGCTGAGTGGGCATAATCTCCAGTTCATAGATATAGTATGTAGTTCAACTGTATAAGTATTAATGTATCTGTATTATAAATTATAACTCTAATATGTCTATTGTAGTATTGTCTACGTTGGAAGTTAAAACGGTGGAACCACTGGGGCTTCCTCATTGTCGAAAATCGATGGTTTAGGATTGCTCCAGTCCCCAATCGAATTCTTCCCATGTACTCTAAAACGGGAATTACCCATTTACGCAAAAATAAAAAAGATATGTTTTTCCAACGGTCAATTTGCGCCAAATTTACCTGTGTAAACATTTTCATTAATGACTTGATTTAATTCATTTATTTTAAAGACACAACATACCTACGTTGTAACATTTGTAACTCATATTTATTAGTTATTTTCACAAATCTATAGATTTTAAAGTTCTGTGTTTTATTGAGTAGACAGGCTGAAAAAAGCTTTAAATCAGTTTTATTATGTTGTACGGTTTAATAAGTACTTCGATATCGGATAATAACGATCGCAGTGTGATTTTAATAGACATTCGTTAAGTTACACTATATATATGGGTACCTACGTAATATTCTCGTCTGTATTTTGTTTATTTTAATCAGTATAACTAATGAGAATGAAATGTACGACAAGAAAAAAAAGGGAGAAAATATGGTTATGGACAATTATTGGATATTGAATAAGTATAGGTACTCCTTAGGATAGGTTATTATTGATCATAATGTTGAAACATTTTATATCCTTGCTTATTTGAAATTTTTTTAAATTTTTGTTGTGTCTCTTAAATATATGAATTGAACTTGAAGTTGTTAATGTAAAATGTACACAAATGTAAATTTGGCATGTAACCAAAACAAATTCATTTTTTTTTTGCCGCAAATGGGCGATGCCTCCTAAAAGGATTGGATAATCATTTTTAATGCTAAAGATTTACAATTCTTGTTTGTAGAAAATGGTCTTGAGTAAGTAAATGCATAATAACAAAACATCGAGGTACCTAACAATAAAACATTAAAAAAATATTTTGATCAAAAAAAAAAAATATTAATTTTTTAAAAACAGTTTATATGAACGATAAGGTTAACTGAAGACCACTCGAAACATTTTACTCTAAAATCAAATTATAATACGTATTACGTAGGATATAAGTATAATAGTTCATAGTCTATACTCTATATAGAAGTTTTGCTAAATATACCTATATGGCTACATCATCAGCTACTTATGTACTTGAACTTCTTTTGGGTATCCAACGTAGAAATTATTGATCACACTTAAATTTAGTATTCCATCAAATATCTTATAAATTTATTAAAATAGTTTCCAAATTGCCGAATTTTGTAATATCATCTATTATTAAGTTGTAATAATAATGTCTTCAAGTGAAAAAAGAAGCAAATTATATACGTATGGTGTTAGGGTATTTTAAGCACTCCAATAATTGCATCTGTTTACCGCCTGTAAGTTTTAGTAAACTATTAAGATTTAAAGATTTAAGACTGTTTCATCACTTTAAGGTTTTGAACATGACAAATATCAGTTCATCCTGAACTGTGAATTTAATTATATTGTTCAAAGCCTTAAGGTTTTTATAATATTTTAAACTTACTTACTTATACAGATTACATCAGACTATATTAATATATTATAGGTGTACTGCTACGACCTACCTATCATATTATTATGCAGTCGTTGACAGATAATAACTTACTAAAAACGGCGGCGGCGCAAACACTGTGAACCAATGGTTCTTCGTATTCGATGCTACCTACCTACTATTAAGACCTATTTACCAGGGCCGGCTCAATGCATAGGCGAGCTAGGCACCTGCCTAGAGCGGCACTTTAACAGGGGCGGCATGCCGGCATTTTAAAAAATGTAATTTAATTTAGTACAATGAAATACTTTAAAAAATATAATATAATAATTATAAATACATAATAAAATACTTATAACGTTCTGTCAATATTCGTAAGGCCAATGCGATGAAAAACAAAACTATTTTTAAAGTTCAAACTTGACCGGCGAGTACGGCCGATGCGATAACGCATCGGACGCACTCGCTTTCCAGTTTGGACATGTCAAATCATGTTACGGTTTTGTTTTATATTTTAATCGCATCAGCAGCATTTTGTATATTGTATATTCGTATAATTTGTATCTAACTTTTATTTCATCGTGACTCGTGCTCGATTCTTAACGGCTGACACAACACACAAGCAAAATTGAAATTCAGTTGATTACTTAAGTAAGTAAAATACTATCGGTACATCGTACATATTTATAAAACTAATGTTCAAATAATGATTTAATGACCAAATATTAAAACTTATGTCTATATATAAATCTTGTACTTACCTATTATATTTTCATTTCTTTTTATATTTTAAAATTACTTAACTTATTTATCTTTAGAAAATATAATTCATATTACCATGTAATATTATCATATTAAAGTGATTTAACTAGAAATATCCTGATATTCATCAACTTTTAAATTTAAATAGGTAGGTATAATTAATACAATTTTTTTTTAAATTTAATATTCAGTTTAGAAAATACGATTTTTTTATTAACAAGTCGAAACTATACGTAATGTGCAACACTATAATAAATGTTATATAAATACATTTGGGTTACTTATATTTTTAACATTAAATTAAATATTACCTGTCAAATTTTTTTAATCAATTATATCATATGTGCGATGTTACATATTTAAATAGTTATCACTTATCAATAAAAATAAAACATAGTAAAAACTCAACAAAACGTCAAATTTACTACTATATTTTATTTGTAGAGTCTACAGTTTGAAAATGTCAGGAGAAGGGAATAAACGGCAACGTTTATCGGGTGCACAATATAAAAAAAAACGAATTGAACGAGAAAAAGATTCTGCTAAGCAACGGGTTGGTCTTCTTCAATTTTTAAAACCAAATCAACAAATCGAACATAATTTGTCTGTGAATAACTTTACGCTTCATTCTGAAAATATTAGTAATAACAGTACGATTTGTGAGAAAATAATTGATAATGACGTCTCAAAAAGTCATATCGATAATGAGCATCAATCAAATAATGTTGAAGATCCTGAAAATATTAATAATAACAACACGATTTGTGAGGAAATAATTAATAATAATATCTCAAATAATGTTCAAGATGATATTAATATCGTCTCTGATGATAGCATTGACCTTACATTTTTTGAGGAACCATCAAAATGGCCTGATCCATTGAATAATGGACATAGGTTAATATTAGTAAAAAAATTTAATAACCCAGTTCAGATTATTTTAACTCAGTATCCTATAAATGATGACAGTAGATCATTTTCTAGTAAATACTTTTATCGAATTCTATCAAATGGTGAAAACATACAGCGTACTTGGCTTATGTATTCAAAAGATGTTGATTCAGTATTTTGTTTCTGTTGTAAATTGTTTAAATCTGGTACATTTTCTCTTGCTACACATGGTAATCGAGATTGGAAAAATATAGGAAATATTCTCAAAAATCACGAAAATTCGCCTTATCATAAAAATGCATTACTAAATTGGAAAGAATTAGAAATAAGGGTGAAAATGGGAAAAACTATAGATGATGTTAACCAGGTGATTATTAGGGCGGAAACTGAACACTGGAAAGCTGTTATTAATCGTATAATATCACTTATTAAAATTATGGCTGGACAAAATTAAGGATTCTATTGACTTTACCTGTAACTGCTGCAACAGCCGAGAGGAGTTTCTCAAAACTTAAAATATTAAAAAATTATTTGCGAACAAATATATCTCAAGACCAATTAGTAGGATTAGCCACTCTATCTATTGAAAGTGAAATTGCTGAAGAATTAGACATGGATGAACTTATACAGAGCTTTGCTTCACTAAAAGCAAGAAAAGTCAATTTTAAATAAAATTAAGTTTGTTTTATTTTATTTTATCAATATTATTATTATAATTTTTATTTCTTAAAATTATGACAAAGGTTTAATTATTTGTAAGGTTAAAAGTGAAAAATATTTTATAAAGCAATAAATATTTGAATATATTATTATGAATTCTTAAAATGTAAATATGTGTACCTACCTAATGAATTTATTATCAGTTATATTATATAACTGTACAAATATGACATTAATATAAAAATATATAAAAATAACCCAATAGTCCCAACACTAGTTGTTATTCCTTTAAAATAAAAAAATAAAAAAAAATTTTCATGTAGGTGTTTATGTCACATAAAAAATAGGGGGAGGGGCTAAGTTTAAATTAGAGCTCAAATTTTTTTAGAGGCGGCAAATTTAGGTTTTGCCTAGTGCACTATTTTTGCTTGAGCCGGCCCTGCTATTTACCTATTTGACATCTGCTATAAATATAACGTCAATAAATCCATAACTAAACATATCAAACATTGTAAAACTGGTGTTTGGTATAATAAAATACCTATTATCATTAGTTAAAATATTAATAATAATTACTGAAACGCCTCCGAGGTGTAAGAAATTCGAATAACTATAGTACTTATAGGTAAATATACTAAATGAGTAGGTACCTAAATAATATACTATAATATTCTGACGAGTATAAAATATATATATAATTGGGGGGGGGGCAAACTTCCTGAGCTCCCCCCCCCCCCCAGTAAAATATTGAAATTGTGCCTATGCTGACGACGACGTAGTTTGTACAGTGTACCTATAGCTATATTCTATATTTACCGCAATCATTTCAAATGTTGATTTATTAATTATTCGGGACAAGAATAATATTTTAAATTGGTAAGATTATGACCTATTCACAACTCTTTCGATCATAAAACTGTCTATTCCCAAATGTGTTGTTTTAGTTTCAAGTAAGCACCTATAAGTACCTATTATTTGATATAAAAGCAATGCAACTTTCCATGTATATAGCATTTTATAGGTACCTACAACAGGCTACGGGGTCAATAAGTAAAAATAAAGTAACTTAAGAGTTAAGAACACTGGTTATTCTATGAAAAACAAAATGTAATGCCTTCCAATTTGTCATGCTACACTTTAGAGCAATCAATTAGTTAGTAATAACTTGTCATCAATTTAGACAAAATATAGTGCACCTGAGTGAAAAAAATCAAGAACTTTTCTCAGACGCCAACTAAAATTAAATGCACTTATCTACCAGCAATATGATTTTATTTTCTAGGCTAATATTATAATGTGCTTGTTTAATATTAAATATTTTTTTCTTTGTAGAAAGAAACACTCATATACCAACAATAACACTCAAAAAGTACTGTTTATCAGCGGAACTTGGCACAAGTGTTTAAACGGTTTTATGAATGGAACGATTGGCCTACTTTCGATATGGCTCACTATGGCTGTAATAGCGTACCTATATCTAAATAATATATATAGGTATATGTTAGCTGTTATCCATCTATATTTTAATAACATATACCTATACCTACAGGCTACAATATGAGAATATGATATATACCTTGCTGATATTATTTTTTTCTAGCGGAAAACATGAGTTGCGCATAATAATATTATTCTCTCAACCGTGGGTACCTACGTATTTTTTTATAAACATAATAGCAGTACGCGCGTTAGTAATATTTGGTAGGTACTTATACGTTTTAAGATATTCTATACCTACCTACGCACGTATAGTGTGGAGTGACACACACATTAATTTCAGCTAAGTACCGCGAGTTTTGACGAAAAATAATAATAACAATGTTGATTATGTAATACAATTATGTTTGTTTCGCTCCACGTAGATTATAATACCATTGATCCGATTAGTTATTACATACCTACCTACCTATGCTATAGAAGTTTTATTTAAACATAATATATTTTAACGTAACTTATTAGTATAATAGATACAGCGTATATATTATACTTAAATCGTATTTATATAGGTATACTATTGTAAGACGTGTATAACATTATTGTATTCACTTGAATACTTGATCGTATATTATTAGTTACAGACAAAACTATTGAAATCAAAAACATTGGGCCTTGGCTCCTCGTCAGTATAATATAGTGATTGTATTATACCTTAAGTTTGGTTCGACACGGCCAGGCAATTACTATTGTGCGTATACCCGCGATTGTCATCATAAGATACGCCTGTTTAATTAATTGCGTTCCTACCTACATTTCTATATTATTGGAAAAAAAATAGTTAAACGAAAAGTTTTTTCCCAGCAAAATACGCGCTATAACTTGTAAATTAATTTAGAAGTTAAATTGTCTGTGTATGGTATAGTGCATCATAATATTATAGATGACGTATACTTAAAATATGTTTTTAATTTTTTAATTTTTTACGTACGTATTACAGAGGGTTCTATTGTGCTTCATGTGCTGTTTTATATTATTATGTACATCAGAAGCTGCTTTTTAGGAACACTCTTGGACTAAGGGGAAATTAATCAATTAGCCCATTGTTTCCAATATGCGATAGGTTACTGTATAATGTATATGTTTATGTTAATAATATTTTTTACATATTGTGTTAACAAATACAGATTTATTGTAAGTTTTCAGAATAAAAAAAAATACGTACGTATTTAATTTTAAATACATACTTTACAGTGGACATTATTATTCAAGTAAAATCAAATATATAACTATTAATCAATTTTTTTTTTTATTGATCTAATAAACTCGACAACTATGGTCATTATTTACAGTTGGGGTTGAATACAGTATTTAAGATTTTAACAGTGTTTTCTGAATGTGTACAACATTGGGAGTAAGAGTATTTGGTTACATAGTATATAGAAAGAGGAAAACAAAAAAAATAAATAAATACATATTATTAGATTAAATTGTAGAGGCCTGTTAGTTTCAAAAATTTTATCATCTTGTTGTTCTCCACGGGATTGGGTCCCAATGCGATGTCGAGGGGCGTATTTAGATTCAAAAATCTTCCAGTGACTTTTTAAAAATGCTATAGAAAATCACTTAGTAGTTACGATGTATAAAAGTGTAAGACTTTCAATTATTACTTTTTAGCCTTTTAGAGTATTGACAAGGACTTCGTTTTATATAAAAAAACAAATTTGTTTGACAAAATTAGTATTTCAAGTTGAAACAATTCACCCTTGAGATGTACTTATGTATACCTATACGGCTATACCTACAGAGATATGCCTATACCTACCATAGTACTGTATAATAATATATTCACAATGCATATGGTTGTACATATACACATTACACGTACACTACATATAGTATTATTATACTGTAGGCTATATAATAAAGACCGAATTTGAAGCAACTTTCGTGAGATGGACTACGAAACATACTAGCAATATATCACAGTCAGTCTTTCGGAAGAGTATTTTTTTTCTCGTGGATGACTTTTCGTGGTTAACGAAGTGTATTCGGGGCAGGAGGTTATATATTTACACACGCACACGCACACCAATAATGGCTATATTTTATTTCGGCTGACATGATAAGATACACAGTAGTCTCGTCGAATTTGTCGAAAACCGTTCGCGTCCGTGTTCCGCTCGTGCACTTATGTAGCTATGAATTAGAAGGGGGCGGGGGAGGGATATTATCTGACGTCAAAGTATCTACGTATAATACCTAAACCTAAAATATTATTTAAGGTGATTTTTTTTAACCAACAACGTGGTATAGAATCACACACAATGTTACCAATATCATATTTTACTATACAGGTAGGTATTCTACTAGCGTACCCGGTGCAGATTCAATGAAAAATAATAAGAAGACGCTCATATAGATATTGACCGGCACCCGCGGCTAAATCATACCAAAAACATTGTAACATGTGTTATTATAGGTTTCGATTTTTTTTTTGATTCTAGATTCATGTAGGTAAAAATGAGGTTTTATGTGATTAAATATAAATTTGTTGTATTTTTAGTAGTTATCAGCACGAATCGTTATAGGCAGTTTTAATCTGTTAACTGTCTATTTATTATCTTTAATGTTTACTTAAAAAAAGCAATTAATCATTAATAGATATATTATATAGCAATGAATATAAGTATACATGATATATATATATATAATTATACTATGATAAACGATAACTCTAGCGACAGTTGATGAAAAACAAAATGTTGTGATGATGATGACGGCCACTTGACAGGCAGATATGTAGTATTTGGAATTTTCTCACCCCAGGTTAGGTTATACCACAGAATTATAAATATCAAATTTTTACAAATGCAATTATATCAAGGTCAATCTTCCCTCTCCCAACACCAGGCACGTATACAGGGGGGGGTTCAACCCTCTTGTTAAACGGAGACAACACAATATGCGGGTGTGAGTGTTCTCTTAAATTTTCAGGACTTTTGAGTATACATACTATATACCTAGGTACCTATAGGTACAAAAAGATACTGTTTGTTTATGACATGTAGGTATACCTGTATACCTACATGTACTGAACGATCTCGTAACTATTTTATTAAAATTGTATTTATCCTTCGTACAAACCTATAAATTATATTATTATGTATTCACTAGGAGTCAAATTAATTTTAAATAATGATCATATAGAGGCGTTCCAGTACAAGGATCCTGCGAATAATACATAATTCAATATTTATATGTATAGACGTATAGTCACAGGTTATATTGTGCTATACTACTATGTATGTCTTACCTTGACGACGCCGTCCACCCTTGGTTTGTAATTCTCGAGAAACAGGCGACGCATTTTGTAGGACCAAATAGGTAATGATGCTCACTAATCGCCATTATTAAGTAGGTATAATATGTAAAACTATATAAGATTCATTTTGCTACAATTTCGTCGTATTGCATAATATCTTACAAACTCACGAACGGTGACAAGAAAACAGTTAGAATGTTTGATCGAGAAACGAAGAGAATTGGACGGCACAGAGGACACGTAAACAACAGTC